TTTAAAACCTTATTTTGTTTTAAAAGACTAGAAACCCCAATATTTTAGTCAAAAACCCTAGTTTACTTGTGACTAATCGGTTTTCTTAAATCTCTCACATTTTAATTGAAACCCTAATTTTAATCACTGGAATTGGAAAATTCCTCACGTTTTCTTAAAAATTTCCTTTTATTTGGAAATTATTATTTATTAAAGCCCTACTATCCAATTATTCCATAATAAGTGCAAATGAGCCTAGAAAGTAGGGTTTCACTCTTCATTTTCAAGATTGGGCAAATTAGGGTTTTCGTGATTTTCCACCGGATGAATTTTCGGTACTGACCAAGGATCAATTTGGTGATTAAAAGTGACTCGTAAGTGATAAATAATATGTGATTAGGAGCAATGAGATGAGGTTAGTGAATAGGAAGTAAAAACCCTAGTACGTGTGTTTTTAAGAAAAACGGCGGGACCCGCGCATTACCGATTGAACGCACCAATTGACCACCACTTTCTTACCATATAAGTTTATTGATATTTGAGCAAAATATCTCCTCTCTCATGATGACTTCTTGACCAAAAATTTGTGGCCAAAATGCAAGGAGAAGAAAGAGAAATTCTTGTGGTTGTAATTAAACCAAGTGTTGGCCAAACTTGTGGCTTAGATTACTCCTAATCTCTTGTCTTCTTAACTACTCAAGAACAGCCTTTCTTCTTCATTTTTCTGCCCCATAACCGAAATTAGAGAGAGAGAGAAAGACAAAGAGAGTTCATCTTGTTCTTCTCCAAATCTTGAAAAGTTTCTTCTATTCGCGCAAATCTACTCCGATTAAGTTGTTATCTAGCACAAAGGCTACCTACCGGTGTAATTTTCTTGAGGAGCAAAGGCCTTGAACACTTGTTTCTAGTTTCCTTGGAAAGGTATACATGCTAGAACCTTGATTCTCCGATTAAATGCGTGATTAGTTGCTAAATATGTCACATATGGTTGAATTATTGATGTATGTGGTGAAATAGAGGCTTGGATCACGATTTTCCATTTTATTGGAATTTTTACAGTTTCCCTATGATTCTTCTAGTGCTTACAATTTGGGGCTTTGATGTTTAAAGTTTAATATGGGAAGTTAAGATGGTGAAGCAAGCCAAAAATAAAGAAATTAGCATTTGATTTCAAGAATTTCCAGATTTCAGGAACTTGAAAATTCAGTTCTGCCCGTTTCTGTATCACCTAGTTAGAGGCCGAATTTGGCTTGGAATGAAACATGAAAGTTGTAGATAATGGTATTTTATAGGTGCCTACAAAATTTCAGCTCAATCGGAGCAACGTAGGACATGAAAAGTCCAAAATACCCTTACTGTTTTAAGTATTTCCCAAGCAGTCCGTGTGATCAGTTAAGTCCAGTTTATCACGTTTTTCGACTAGGATCCATTCTGATTTAGCTTTTTGCCGAAACATGAAAGTTTTAGTATTCTTACTTAGCTTTCAAACGCCTCTAAGAACAACTGAATCGGACTTTTGTAACCTGAGATATGACCATTACAGTACAATGCGGTTAGAGAGCCAACGAGTGAGATTTTGGTTCTGTAAATTGAGGATTTGACTATGTTGCATTGGAAACTGGACTAAGTGATTTTCATGAACATTGTAGCCTTGTGTCTTAGCTTCAAAACGGTATATGTTTCACCTCAATCCGATAAGCGTAGCCTCAGATGTACCCATTCCGTAAAAACCCATCAAAACTGTCTTTTGTAAACTTCGTTTCCACACTTGTTGTTAGCTTAAATTTTGTCCTTGTATTGTTATGAGCCTATGGAACGGCTATTGACTTGCATTATGATATATATGACTTTGGGATTGGCTGAGGAAAAATAATGAAGCCTAAATGGCTGGAAAATTAGGTAAACACAAAGGGCATGCTGCCCAAATTTACGCTTGAGGGAATGAATTCCGGTTTCTAGGGTTTAATTGGGGGTTTTTCTAATGGTGGCTTTTAAGCTTCTAATTAGCTTTGATTGAGGGATATTGTGGCCTAATTAGATATATTTTATTGCTTATTAACCGTATGTGTGATCGGTAATATATTGTAGGTTGGAAATGAAGCATTTATGGGGAAATGTTGTCCAAACTTTGAGAATGTATGATTGCTTTGAGTTTGTGATTTAGAGCTTGGACTCGGGCAAGGTAATGATATATGATGGATGGTTTCTGAGCCGTGGAGGTGAGTGACCTCAAACTACTTCTAAAGTTATTTATGAACCGTTTCTTACATTATTTACTTTTGAACTGTTTCCAAAGTTACTTTTGAAATGTTTTCTTGCATATCATGTGTGCTGGCATTTGAGTGTGCCTTGTTTGCTATGTTTCTTGACTTCATGACTTGTATTTTGGTTGATAACGTGTTAAGCGCTTATAATGATTTCTAAAACGAGTTTTCGAGGCGAGTGTGTACTTTATCGCACTCGACCTAAATAGCTGTGCAATTTTCAAGGATTTAATTATTGAAATGCTAGTTGCGCATGATGTAAGCCTTTTGGGCTGAACTGGCCATTGACCCTTGTTACCGGTCGTCTTGAGCCAGAAGCGGACTCGGTCAGGCGATTAGGAACTTGGGTGAACGTTTGGTATACTCGAGTATTACCTATGTAGGTTGGTGGAGCCTGGCCAAAAGCCAGGGACGGGGTGCATGAAATAAAATGAATGACCAAATGAGCGAGAAAATGTCAGGAGAATGAATGTATCCTTTCATGAATGTTACTATCGCTTTCCATTGTAAATGTTTCTTGAATTATTGATAATCCATATTTACTGTTTTGCAAATGTTGTAGTTGTTTCCGGATTTATCATTGCTATATGACATCATTGAAATGAACTATTGTGAAACCGATTTGATTACTGATTTTAATGGTTACTCGCTGAGCTTCTAGCTCACCCCAAAAAAATGTTTTATTTCCCCCCCCAGGGCTCAAGGCGAAGAAAAGCTTGGAGTGCTTATTCACGTGACTGGATGGCTTATATCGTGTACAGTTTAAGTTTGGATCTATTTTATGTACGAGTTGGTCTTGTATAAATATTTGAAATTGATATGGATGTAAGTATACGTTCCACGATTGGAATCAGTTTCCGCTGCATTTGTGATATGTAATCATTGGAGAATTTGATGTAATTTTGAGATTTATATTGTAATTGGGTTGAGGACTGTAGTGTGCGACTGAGTCCCGGCGAGAGCTGGGCAGGCGGTCCGCCGAACCCTCTGGTTCGCCTTAGGGGAAGGTGGGGTCGTCACAGTGGAGGGTTGAGGCACAGGTATCTTGCTCTCTTTAAAGTGATTCAAGTCTTTGTAAAAGAATCAACTCCGGTGCAGCATGTTCTCTAACTTGTCACCCTCAAGATATAAGAGTCCAACCACACTTGCTAACACTCTCTCTAGACTACACAATTAGGATAATAAAGCTCTACAAGCACCTTTTGTTTCTTGCCTAACAATGAGATAGAAAATAATGAATTTAGACTCAAAAGACATAAGTTGTTGTAGTGTCACTTTTCTATCTCAGCTATGCATATATATAGGTGAAAAAAAGTTAGACAAACATAACCTATGTTACTAATAAGACACCAAGTAAATGCTGAAATTATTGGCCATTCAAAACACATTCAAATTTGCGCTGTGGGTTACAAGAAAACTTATTGTAGTTAAAATATTATAATTTCACATAATGATAGCTATTCAATCCAAATTTGAATTGTTAGTTACAAAACTTCAATGTAATTGAAAAGCCATAATTTCATACTATAACTCCTTAGTAAAAACCATTCAAACACCTATAAATTTCAGGAAATTTAATCAATTTATTTCCCTTGTAACGTGCACATTTTATTGATAATTTAATTATTTTATTAAAATACTACAACACTTGCTATATGGTTTGACTTTTGGATCCTAGAGTGCCAATGGGTCATGCATATGAAAATCCAAGTTGAAAAAGGAAAAATTAACGAAAACTTTTATCTTTATGAGGTTTAAGTGATTAGTACAAAATCCTAGCATCAATTTCAATGTAATTTGGTGGGCGCTTTTTTTGCTTTTATTGGAGGTATTTGTTAGCTTTTTGAAAGATGATTTTTTTGGCTTGTTGTACCTGCATTGATATTATACGTGGTAACAAACTCATTTAGCTAATTTTACTCATATCCAGCCATGAATAACCGGATTTGAGTATATTAAATTTTTTACATATGGGTATAAATGAGTTACCTACTATTACCCATTTATTAAATGAATATTATTAAGTAACCCACTAAATTTAATTAACCCATTTAGAATTATTTTCCTCAATTTTCCCACCGCCATCTTTTCCTACTCAGTCCTCGTTTTCCACCAGTCTTCCCATAGCTTCCATTGCAATTGACGTTAAAATTCATCGTCTTCCCGTAGCATTTCTGAGCTACGTCAAAAGAATTTCTAAGCTGGTCTATGAAGAAATCCGTGGAGTTCTAAAGATTTGCCTAACCAAATAATTTCTAGGTTCGTAACCTTACAAGCAAATCTAAATTCCTCTGTCTTCTTTCATGTGAAAACCCAGTGATTTGAGATCCAAACAATTAATAAAGAAAGGAAAAAAAATAAAAGCAAGCTCAAAAAGAGAATTTTGAAAGATCAAATTTTCAATGTAAATTCCTTTTTTTGAATTAGGGGCATACACTTAATAACAAATATATATTTAAAAAAATAAAAGATATGCAAATTGTGATAACAAATAGATAATAGCAAAAAGTAAACTTGTGCATATTTGGCTCGTTAATGCTTGATTCAACTTGGATAAATTTTTTTATATTATATATATATATTTTATACATAATAGCATATTTATTATTTATTTTATAGATATTATATATTTATTATAGATAAAATAATACTAAAATATAAAAAATAAATAAAATTTGAAGCTCCCGAATGGAACTAGAACCGACTTAGTATTAAAATCGAATCGACTTTGAAGTTAATCATTAAGCTCATCAAAACTCCAAATTGAGTTTGACAGTTTCCAAATTCGATGATGATTCATATATGACTATACTCCTAAGCAAAACAGTCCTTAAAAATTGGTTTGGGCCCAGCCCGAAACCCTTTAATTGGGCCATAATAATCCGAACTTGACGGCTTTGTATTGAGAAAGCTTCCCAATTTGCCTGAAAAATCTCAGTAAAGAGTTAATTTCAGACTTGGAGAGTTGGAGTGGACGATGATGGCAATGAAGAGAAGAGCGGCTTCATTAGGTACCGCTGCTGCTGCTAATTGTACTACTCTTGCTTCATTTCTCTCTGCATTCCGAAGCCCTAAACCCCAATTAGCTTTCTGTTCAGCTATAGCAACTAGTAGTGATAAAATTAGAAATCATCAGCACCAAATTGGGACGTCTTCTGGTAATGTTTTGCAATTTCTTTCTGGGTTGAAGGGTAGGATTGATAGTATTGACAGTCTTGATGATGCTCTAAGCTTATACCAGCAGCTGGTCCGGATGAGGCCTCTGCCCTGTGTTTTTTATTTCAATCGACTGGTGGACCGCATTGTTAAGATGAAGAAGCATTATTCATCTGCTGTCTCAGTTTTCAGAGATATGTACGTCAGGGGCATTCCTCTTAGTGACTACACCCTCAATGTTGTGATTAATTGTTACAGCCTCTTGGGTCGAGTGGATTTGGGATTTTCTGTATTGGGTGTCTTCTTCAAGCGTGGTATTCTGCCCGACATAGTCACCTTTAATACTCTACTTAAAGGACTCTTTCGGGAACATAAGGTTCCCCAAGCACAAGAATTTTTTAAGAAAATAATATTCGAAAAGCTTTGCGAGCCCGATGAAGTTACGTTTCTGATTGTGATAGATGGGCTCTGTAAGGTGGGCAACACTCAAAAGGCTGTTGAATTCCTAAGAGTCATGGAAAAAAGAAGAAGATGTAAGCCCAATGTTAATGTGTACAATACTATCATTGACAGCTTTTGCAAAGATAAAATGGTCGGTGAAGCTCTTGCCCTTTTGCAGGAGATGATTGAAAAGGGCATTTCCCCAGATGTTGTCACTTATAATTGTTTGATTGGTGGTCAATGCAATTTAAATAGATGGAAAGACGTTACAAAGCTCTTTTCTGAGATGAAAGATTACAAAATTACTCCCGATATTGTTACTTTCAATATAGTGGTGGATGCACTGTGTAAGGAAGGGCATATTGAAGTTGCTGAAGAGGTAGTCGGCATCATGATTAGGCAAGGTCACAATCCCAATCTGGTCACATACAGTTCCTTAATGGATGGATACTGTTTAAAGCGCCGAATAGATGAAGCAAGGAGGGTCTTTGAAGCCATGGTTATTAGCGGCCTTACCCCTAACCTCCATAGCTATGGTATTCTGATAAATGGCTATTTCAAGCACAAGAAAGTGGAAGCAGCCATGAATATCTTTCGTGAGATTCAGCATAAAGGTTTAACACCTAATATTGTTGTTTATAACACTGTCTTGCAGGGGTTATATAGTGTAGGAAGCTATCTTGGTGCAAGAGAAGTTTTCGATGAGATGCAAACTGCTGGCATAAAGCCTAATTTTTACACTTTCTGTGTAATGTTGGATGGATTATGCAAGACTGGACATGTCAACGAAGCATTGCAGTTATTCCATTCAATGGAAGCTGATGGAATCGATCATCATATAGGCATGTACAGTATCATCCTTGATGGTTTGTGCAAAAGTGGGAGGCTAGATAGTGCTCGTGATCTTTTTGACAATCTCTATGATAAAGGATTGGATCCTAATGTCCCAACATACACCACAATGATTGCTGGCCTGCTTTCACAAGGCCTGCTCACCGAAGCTAAAGAGCTTTTTGGAAAAATGGAAGAAAATGGTTGCCTGGCAGATAGCGTTACATACAATGTTATTCTGCAAAAACTCCTTAAAGGAGGCCATTATGATGATGCAATAGTCTACTATGAAGAAATGGTTCGTAGAGGTTTCTTGCTAGATGCATCTACTTTTTCCATTTTACTTGATTCATCTACTGAAAAAGAGAAAAATCCTTCTCTACTTATGTTGATGCTGAAGATTGGTCCTGATAGCAAGAAGTTTATTGATGGGGGATAAAGAGGACCTTCACATTGGTTGCAACTTTTGGTCCTACTGGTTTTTGGCCCCTAAACTTTAACTAACATTATTTAGGTTTGCTTTTGATTCTGTTTTAACTTATCATCTTTATGGAATATAAGAAGTGTTGCAGCTGAGCCTCGAGTAGCTCTCTTGGTCATATTTTGTGAAATGCCTCAAAGTTCTTCAGTCCAGGTGGAAGAAGCTGCGGTCTTTAAGGGAAGTTCAATTTATAACTGTACTGGTGCAGCAGTTCACAGAAGCCTGCTGGTGTTAATTGGATATGTACAGCTTCTTCAGAGAGACTTCTTGCTTAACCTTTCTTAGAGAACTTCAGCGTAGAATATCACATAAAAGGTAACTTTTACAGGCTCCTTTTCTTTGTGTTTCATGGCTTTTAGTACTTTTTGCTTCCATGTAATTTTAGTTTGGATAACTAATAGCTGAATTCATTGGAATTAAGAATAAAACTTCATCCGAAAATATAATTTTTTATCTGGATTTATAGAAAAGTTTAGTTACAAGCTGCATTTTTAATAATTTGGAGGAAGTTTTTTCTTTCAATTCCTAAATGTATTCAAAGGTGCAGCCAGTTTAAAAGTGTAAAAAATTTTTGGACCAGTATCTTGGTTTGGGTTAAAATTTTGAGGTCCCATGGATGGTCATGGTTGTTGACTTCTGTCACTGCATTTGATTGGAGGCTAACTTTTCAAGTATAATCCAGAAAATGTATTCTGATCACTTTCCGTTTAACTATAAACTAAACTACACAAGGATCCTTAGTAGTGAACCTTTAAATCCTTTAATTTGTAGGCATTGGTAATCTTTCAACAGTTTTATCAGTATAAGAACTCATTGAGCTTTTATTATTTAAAATTGATGTCAATGCTGTACTAAATTGTATATATACTGGATAGGAATGTGGCAAAAATATCTTTTTCTTAAAATAAGTTGCACTAATCTGTCCAAGAAACTCTCCATTCTTTTCATATTGTTCTCCTGATAAAAACATTTACTTGTTTATTTAGTTGTTCATCTAAAATAAACTTCCTGATAATGAATTCTTTACTTTTAGTGTTGGATTGTTGCTAAATTGCAATAATAACTAAGAATTGGCATCTGTTGCACAAGTATACCAATTCGTTGAGCTTCTGTTAGGTTCCCATCTGCAATTGTCAAAATAATAAAGAAAAAGAAAAAAGTCTTTGTGGCTCATCAAAATGTTAACAATACACTGTTGTAGTCTAGCAAGTTTCATATCTGTCATTTCTTTTTCTTATTCTCGTTCTTTCTTGGAGAGCAGGAGGGAGGTGAAAGTTTGTATGGGATGTGAAGATTTCTTGTCAGATAAGGCTGCATTGAAACAATCAATTAGGTATTCAAAAGCAGAGAAAAACTTTTGATGAATTTTATGTGAAAGAATTCAGCTGAAGTGATTAAGAATAATTTCTTAAATCAATTTTGGGAACAATTTCTGTAGCTTTACTGACTATGTCCTCGTTAAGTATGTCATGCTTAAAATTTATGGAATATCTCTTTTAGCTGTGGAAAAAGTATGCTGTTTAGTGACCTATAAAATCATCGAGAAGCGATCTTTTGTTGATCTGCCATATAGCTGTTCTGTGCAGATTTTTTTATTTGTGTGGTTTTGTTAATGCATGCACTAATGAGTGAAGACAATGACAGTTGCATGGTTTTTGGTTAAGAACAATAAGTCTTCTTGCTCATGTTAAAATTTTATTTTGGCATCCTAAGATGAAGATTTCAACGAGACCTTGTACAGATGTCTCCAGATTGAAATTAAGATGTGCTTTATCAAGATAGAATAAGTTCCACGTTCAGTTTAAGTTTAGCTCAGAAAGTATTATTCTTCCATACTGTGCACATGCTTGGAGTTAAGATGCCATTGAAATTTTGTTCTACTTTGAAGGTCAACTTAGCACATTTAAAATAAAAATAATAAAAATAAACTATGGAAATGAAACCTGCATACTCCTACATCTCCATGTGCAAGTTGAACTTCCACAAAGGTGGGGCTTCACCTTACAATTTTTCTGATTGAGGATGTAATATATAGTCAGAGGTTACAGTCATGTTGATTCAATTTCGCAGAGATTGTGATTTCAAATAAAGTTATTAATATCTCATCTCTTTCCTTATTCAAATTTCTCCTTTATTCATGTCATAAATTCTAGTTTTGTTTCCAATCTATTGATTCTGACCTTAATTTCTTGGCCAAATGTTAGTTGTCTATGTAATTTTCTATTGGTGCATTTGTCAAACAGGTTCAAGTCATCTTCCAAAACGACACACATGTTTCCAAACAAATTCAATGGATTTGATTCATTCTCTAAGAAGCCAAAGAGAAGGTGAATGAGATCTTTGTTTCTGCTAAAGAAATAATTTATTTACATCATCTTGCCTAATAATTCGAATTTTCCTTCTTTTAAGATTTATTGTATTAGGTTTTATTAATATGCATGGAAATTTATGGTTCAATTTCAATCTCTTTTGGTTTCAAACAGGGAATAATTGTTTCTGGAGGATAATGATCTAATTGTGGCTTTAGCATTTTCTCACATAGGTTTAAGAAAGTTTTTCAACCAGTTGGCAGGGTGGGATTAAGTAGCTAGGTATCTGTATACACTATATGGCTAAATTCAAATGTACAAGTCATTAATGACAAGTTTTCTAGATCCAAGACTGAATGCTGTCTTTTGTGCCTCTTTTCCATTTAAATAGAAAAACTCTGTACCTTCTCTTCTGGTCAGAATATATCTACCTATCTAATATATTAATTACGGATATGCTAATATACAGCTAATATAGTAGACCATAATCAGCTGCCCTTGATTAGTGCAATTAGTAGACCATAATCAGCTACCCTTGACTTTTGTAATTAGTAGACTAGATCCCATAATCAGCTGTCCTTGACTTTTGCATTTAGTAGACCATAATCAGCTGACCTTGACTTTTGTAATTAGTAGACTAGATCTCGTTGCCCTTGATATCCCCCCTCAAATTGATGCTGGTCGATCAAAAAGCATTAATTTGTCAACCAGAAAATTGTGTCTATGACGAGAGAGAGCTTTCGTAAGTATATCAGCAGTTTGAAGATCAGTGGTGATATGAGGAAGAGAGATAACATGATCATCATATGCTTCGCGGATAGAGTGACAATCAACTTCAATATGTTTTGTACGCTCGTGAAATACAGGATTAGCACGATTAGTAGCTCTTGGTAATCGGCAAGAGTATGGAGTAGATTATGAGGAGACCTTTGCTCTTGTGGCAAAGATGACAACAGTTCGACTTGTTCTAGCTATTGCTGCTTCTACGGGCTGGTCATTGCGACAGATGGATGTTAAGAATGCCTTTTTACATGGCAATCTTCAAGAAGAGATTTATATGACTCCACCATTAAAGTTATTTTCTACATCTTCATCTGATGTTTGTAAGCTAAAACGCTCACTCTATGGCTTAAAACAAGCTCCACGGGCTTGGTTTGATAAGTTCCGTTCTACGCTTATTAGCTTCTCATTTGTTCAGAGTCAGTATGACTCCTCTTTGTTTCTTCGCAAGACTGATAAGGGACTTGTTTTACTTCTGGTATATGTTGATGATATTGTTGTCACAGGAAATGACTCTGAATTAATATCTCAACTTCAGGAGCATCTTCAACGTTCTTTTCATATGAAGGATTTAGGTCCTCTACAGTATTTTTTGGGTCTAGAAGTGCACTCTACCTCAGCTGGTATTTTCTTACATTAGCATAAACACATCCAGGAATTAATTGCTTTGGCAGGTCTCCAAGATGGTCGGTCTGTTGATACCACATTGGAAGTAAATGTTAAATATCGCCGTGATGAGGGTGATTTTCTCTCAGATCCCTCTCTCTATCGGCAATTGGTGGGAAGTCTCAACTATTTAACTATTACTCAGCCTGATATTTCATTTGCTGTTCAACAAGTTAGTTAATTTATAGAGGCGCCTAGGCACCTCCATCTAGCTGCTGTTCGTCACATTATTCGTTTTTTACTAGGCACTTCCTCTCGTGGTCTTTTCTTCTCCAGAAATTCTCCTCTTCATTTGGTAGCCTATAGCGACGCTGACTGGGCGGATTGTTCGGATACTAGACGTTCAGTTACCGGTTGGTGCATGTTTCTTGAAAATTCTCTTATTTCTTGGAAAAGCAAAAAGCAAGATAGGGTGTCTAAGTCCTCTACTGAGTCAGGGTATCGTGTTATGTCCTCTGCATGTTTTGAGATCATTTGGCTTCGAGATAGTCTACTAATTACAAAAGTCAAGGTCAACTGATCATGGTCTACTAAATGCAAAAGTCAAGGACAGCTGATTATGCGATCTGGTCTACTAAATGCAAAAGTCAAGAACAGTTGATTATGGGATCTAGTCTACTAATTACAAAAGTCAAGGGCAGCTGATTATGGTCTACTAATTGCACTAATCAAGGGCAGCTGATTTTGGTCTATTATATTAGCTATATATTAGCATATCTGTAATTAATATATTAGATAAGTAGATATATTCTGATCAGAAGAGAAGGTACTGAGTTTTCTATAGACATTCTTTCAAAAAAAAAAAAACAAAGATCTGAATTACAAGAAAGGCTGCCAACCACAATATGATTGACCCAAAAGGATATCTTGAAACCAAATGATTGATCAAAATAATCAACCCAAGAAGAATAACAACTCAGAAAGTTTGGAAAGGCGGAGAAATTCAAATAACTAGCTCTGATACCGTGACAAGTTTTCTAGATCCAAGACTGAATGCTGTCTTTTGTGCATCTTTTCCATTTAAGTAGAAAAACTCTGTACCTTCTCTTCTGGTTAGAATATATCTGCCTATCTAATATATTAATTACAAATATGCTAATATACAACTAATATAGTAGACCATAATCAGCTGCCCTTAATTAGTGCAATTAGTAGATCATAATCAGCTGCCCTTGACTTTGGTAAGACTAGATCCCATAATTAGCTGTCCTTGACTTTGCATTTAGTAGACCAGATCCCATAATCAGCTGTCCTTGACTTTTGCATTTAGTGGACCACAATCAGCTGACCTTGACTTTTGTAATTAGTAGACTAGATCCCATTGCCCTTGATAATTAAATGCATAACATAGCTAAATTCAACTAAGTTGCAAAGAAAAAAAACATATAATGACTATTTGTATAATTTTTCCTGTCACTTGAATATTAGCTCATCACTATGATTAGCTGATTTACAGAATGAGATAGTTTTGTATAGAAGTTGGAGAGAAATTTTCCATTTGTGTGTAAAGAAGGAAGAGATTTGTACGACAAAAGGAATCAGGGATCAAAACAGGCTAGCAGTGAGCAGATTCCGTCTGTAACATTTTTATTTCTAATTCTAGCAAAGGCTCAAGGCTCATGATAAATGCATTTGGAGTAGTAGTATAGAGGTAAAGATATAGCATACCTTAATTATGTAAGGATGTTGTTTTCTTCTTGATCTCAATCCAAATATCCATTCTTGATTTCATTAGTTTCTTTTGTGCCGGATTCCCCTACTTGAAGGAATCAGCGTGCTTGATTCTACATGGATTATTTGAAACAATATGTTCTTACTTTAAAATTTTTATGTATAGTACTTACCGCTTTCTTAAATTTTTTGTACTTTATCAAACAAATTAGGTCCAAAATAACTTTAGCAACCATGTTGAACTTAGGTACCTACTCCTAGGCGGGGCCTAATGCCCTAGTTATATTAGGCAGAGGACTTGGACAGACAATTTAGACAGGATCTTAAAGGTGTGGTTGGCTTTTCTGGAGTTAGGAGGGTTTTTGATCTTGAGGTTAGTACTATGAACAGTCAAGTCTTCAAAGCAATTGTAAAAGACATGGATATTTCAAAAGTTATAGCTGTATTGTTTTCATTAATCGCAATTGTCAAATACCATAAAAACTACCACCTTTCTGAATAATTATTTGAAATTTCGTCAAATCAGTTGTACTAATGATCATGACATACTTGTAGAAGACAATTTGCATGAATAAATCAATAGAAAATAGTATTCAAACGTCATAACGTGCAAAAGATGAATACGTTGTCGTAACAATACAGTCAACTCTGCAAGAGAGTAAAAAGAAATAGTATTGGTAAATATTGTAAAACTTCCTATTGCACTGTTTTATTATCAATACGATCAAATCTTTCACATAAAAAAGTGAGAATTGTTTATTGCTACGGTTAAAAATTTTTGTGCGGTAGATACAGGATATAGTTGGTATACTACTTTCTACCTTTGGGTGCAACTGTCAGGCAAATGTGCTATATGCAGGGGAAGGAGAAGAAAGTCCCATGACTTATTTTGCAGAAGAAAACCCCTTGTCCTCAAGGTATAGTTATTTTTGCTTGCAGATGAAATAAATCTAATTTCAAATTAGTTATCTTCTACACTCATAAAGCATGCATCTGTAGCTTCTCCCTAGTGTTTTAGTTTGAGAGTGTTATAGCTTATGTAGGGAGAAACAGGGCTATTTTCTAACAGCAAGGATGGAGACAGCAAAAGTTTGGCTCCTAGCTACAATCTTTATCTCATGTTAAGATGTTAGTGTGATTTCAACAGAATATGACATGCTTGAGAGTGAATGTACTATTGTGGAGCATTAGGTTTTAGTGTCAACTTCATTTTACTGATTGAAGGTTGCATTCATTTTGCATATGACCGTCATTGGGAAATATATGAGATGCAGTACTTCTGGATGCTTTAGCGAAACTTGTCACCATTAACTTGATTTTCACTTTGTGGTTGCACGGATTGGGGATGTGGTGACTTCCACTTCTAATCTCCTTTCTCATCTAAGTGATATTCATTTTTTGTTTGAAATTCATTCAGGATACCAATAACCATGGTATTGGTAGCTAACAAAAGCTCTTGTTTTGTAGATTGATGTATCCTGTGGAACTATTTCTCATATTGAATTGCTTTTACGATTGCAATTTTTCAGGATTGGAAGGGTACTTATTGAACTGAAGGGAAAAAAAAAAGCATGAATGCTCAACAGGAGAAGAAACTGATTCATGTGCAACTTGCTCAGGTTTTTCTTTTGCGTTTGCAAATGGAGATTATCTCACCTGTCTTGACTCAATTAAAGTTTTATATGGTGTTGAGAACATTTTTCCAGCTACCCATTTTAGTCTATTATTTCTTGTCTACAGCAGATAAATGAGGCCAAATCTTCATGGGCACTTTATGGTGCCATTTTTAATTTATTTTCATCCATTGTTCCAGCTCCATTCTTTGTGGCTAGCAGTTGTTAATTGTGAAGATTTAAAGGTGTACCAGGGCATTCCTTTGTCCGATAAGACCGAGGGAGTAGTGGCAGTGGTGAATAAATCAGGTTTATATTTTTTATTTCTTGATTAATTTTTGCAATCTTGTTTTGCTTAATCTACTTAGTTTGTCAAATGATTAAGATAAAATCTTTTGAGTATTTGGTATCTCAATAGTGATGGAGTCAAGAAAAATGTTTTCTGCTCAAGTTTGGTCAGTTCTCTTAACAGTACTACTTTTCATTGTCTTCAATATGGGACAGGTTTTGACACATGCTGTAGTTGGGCTATTTTCCCTCTTTTTACAGTTTTTGAGAAAAGAAATTGCTAAACAAGTGAGCGATAGAGTCAGGTTCTTTCTATGTTTGCATGATCCTATAGATGGATTTCATTTTTTTTAGTGTGAAGCCATATAAGTATTGTAGATTGCTTCTCCTCTTGAGCTTGTGAGTTCCATTGTTATGCATGTGAATGAGATTCAAAGGGCCTTGATCTAGCCTTTGACTTAACGAGTTATGGTTTTGATTGTTTGATTGTTGCTTCTTTTGATATGTAATGCTGCTGGTTATTAAATGAATTGCAACTTAAATTCCAGGTGAATGACCATCATCTCGAGAATGCTGCATGTACTCTTTTTCATAGTGGTGCTGAAGATTAGTTGTTTGAATTAACTGTTTTTGAGGGTGTTTTTGAAAAATTTTGCTGTAGCAATGTATATGAAAAATTTTTACTACAAACATTTTTTAAAATATTTGATATATTGTATGAATGAGATATTTTTTGAGTTATTGTATATTACTGTAACATTATTATTTGAAAGCTTGTTTTTGAAAAAATGGCCAATCCAAATGGAGACTATGCATGATTGAATTTCCGCAATTCAGAGTATTTTTAGTTTGGATCCTAGGAGGCTGAATCCAGAGATATAAATTAGTCGATATTTTTTAAAAGGACTTTGTGATTCAGATTGAATATGTGTTTTCTGATGCTATTGAAGTTCAAATATTACTTAGGAGCAAGGAACTTTTTTCAGTCTATGAAGCAAATTTAGTGGGATGGGATGGTGGATTTCGAAATTTAGTCAAGTGGAACCCTTGCAAGAGAATGGTTGGAGGCCTTGCAACAGAAACTAGAAGCAGAAGCGAAAAGGCTCAAGCCCACATCACCAAAACGTGCATGGAAAAAGCACTAGATGAGCAGCACTTTTTTTTCCCCCCAAAACTTCATAATGTAAATCCCTTTCTTTTTGTTTTTAGCAAATGGCAAAGCCTTTTTTGGCATCAAAGACGACTCTGCTTCATCTCACCTTCTGTAGTATTCATTAAAAATTGCTTAATTGTTTTTCAGCATTTGTTTCAGTTGATAAAGTTTTCACAATGTAATCTAATAGACTATATTGACACTTTGTCTCACTTTAGAAATTCATATTGATTATGATGAATATTTCTACATCCCTCCATTTAGCTCCTACAGCAATACAGTTAATAATCAACCATAGAGATACTAATAACGGAGCACGTACTTTGCTTGTGAGCATGTTGTTTTTAGATTTTTTTTTTCTTTTAAAATTTTTAGAAAATCAATTATTTTGAAGGAATAAATGTAATTGAGACAAAAAATGTGATATTTAATATTTATATTTTTTTTTCTGAATTTAGTTTGCCCTAACCAATACAAATGCACATGCAATAAATCATTCTTTACTCCAATAGCACTTTTATTTTGTAACAATATCAATATTTTTGCCTTTTGGTTAAATTTAGATGACCTAAATGTTCTTTTTTATGTCATTTGAGTTTAAATTTCTAATTTTTTGAACAATTTGTTGCTTCTTCCACGGGAGAATTCTCTGTAGCTTCGGCTTGGGAGGCGATTCGCGAGAAAAGGAATTTGTTTGTTGTCAATACATTGACATGGAGTTAGTGTTCCTTTGAAAGCCTCGATTTTCGTCTAGAGATTGTTGAGGAAATGGTTTCCTTCAGACTGCCAGCTTCAGCGCAAGGGATTACCTTTAGCGTTGAAATGTTGCTGCTATGGCAGTGCGGTGGAGACGGTCGCTCATTTGTTTGTTGCAGACCCTCCTGCCTTTCTTAGGTGTACAAGTTTATTAATCAAATGGAGAAGGCCAAGTTGCTGAAGCATCAATTCTTTAGGGGAGATAGAGATTGTGTTTGGGTAGGGGGTGCCACTGGCAAGGGTAGGGTGAGTCATCTCTTGGGTAAAACCTCCTGTGCATTCGGTTAAACTAAATACGGATGCCAGTATATCGGCGGAGGGAGCTTTTGGGGGAGGACTGGTTCGAACTAGTGAGGGAACTTTAGTTTTTGCGTTCTATATAGAGTTTGCGGAGCAAGATGTTATCATGACGGAAGCTTTGTCGTTGATAGTGGGGTTACTTGGTTGCCAAGAAAGATGTCATAGAGATTTTGTGGCTGAAGTGGATTCAAGTTCTTTAGTCATGTTGATTTTTTCTGCTCATTTAGCACGTTGGCCTCTTTGTAACATTATTAGGCACATCAGGTCTCTGTTGGCAGATTTGGGGGTTTCTTAATCACATATTTATCGGCAAGCTAATTCAGCAGCGAATGCGTTAGTCTCGTTAAGATTGACGTCGGACACCGTTTTCTCATCTGAGGCATCTCTACTGCCTATGGTCAGGTCAGTCTTTTTTTTAAATAGGTAGTCTGTCCCTTTTGTTAGACATTCTATTCTATTTAAATGCGTTAGTACTCCTTTCTTTTTTTATTTTTATTCCTGCGGTGGATCTTGTTACTCCCTTTGCCCTAACCCGCTGTTCTATGGTGATTTATCTAATAAAATAGGGGTTAGCGTCCCCCCACCCCCCGGCCGGACAATGGGGTTAGTAAAAAAAAAATTCTATGAATTATGTATTAGTTTTAGTGAGATTTTCTAATTATTATTATTATTTTGCTAACGTTGGATTGTAAAATGATCTATAGTGCTATTGTAATTGTAATAGTATTTAAATATATTGAAATTCCATTGTTCGAATTTAAATAGCTTAACTTTGAAGAGAAATGTTTTGATTCGGTGAAACTTATTTGTATTTCTCACTGATGACATGCTTTATGATTATAGAGTTTATATGATTAAAAATTATAAAACGTTAAGATTATTTATTATATAATAGTCAAACTGAAGTTGGATATATTTTTATATACCTTTGAAGTGCTCTTTGAAATTGATATTTTATAAATAAAAAAAAAATTTGGCTTTATTCACCATAACTCAAAGGGATGCTTTATCTTTGTAATTATTATTATGATTGGCTTTGATGAATATAATATTCATTAATTGGAGTTTAATACGATTAGTTGTTACAAAAATATGATTGGCAAAGTCCATTAAATTTAATCTTTATTGTAATTTAAATAAATAAATTCCCAACATAAAACTCTTTGTGTACCTTGGTACTCCATTTCCTATTATATTTTGTATTAAAGTTTTTTTATTCAATAGTAACATACAAATATTAAAAAGGTACTCTTAAGGCTTAATTTATTTGTATCCAAAAAACAAAAGACTCATGGTACATTTTAAGAGACTCATAGTACCAATTTATTATGTTTTGTTTCATGTTTGAAGTACTCTCTAAACTTGGATTTTGTAAATAAAATTTGTTCCTCTTTCTTTGGGTAAATAAAAAAAAAGTGAGGAAATTTTCATTTTTGTAATTGCTAGCATGTTTGATATTATTTATTAATGATGAAATGCAGCGCAATTTGGATATTTATTAGAGAAGAGTGTAATTTTGGTATGATAAAAACTAATATCATTTTCTGCTTATAATATTAACCACTAAGATTCACCTTTTTATCATAATTTATAAAAAAAATTTGTTCTTCTTTTTTCGATTTAATTCACCGTAACTCAAGGGAATGTTTTTCATTCTTGTAATTGTTGGCATAATTGATATTAGTTATTGACGAAATGCAATGAATTGATTGTTCTTCTTTGGGTTTAATTCACTAGAATTGCCACAATTTAAGGAATGTCTATTTGTAACTGTTAGTATAATTCTTATTAATTATTAAGAAAATGCAATGTAATATGTCCATTTATTAGTATCAAGGGTAATATTGGTATAAAAAAATTAAGATCAATTTTTTATTACACACCCACTAAAAAATTATCGTAACTTTTATATAGTAATGGATATACAGAGCTCTATATTAACCATTTCCATCACTCAATTCTGCGCGAAGTCACACAATTGCGTGGCGGCAAATGAGTTGTATGGTAAAAAGCAGCTCTTACCTAAATAATATTTCAAATTTTCATCTTTATGACTTGTATTGGTAATCACAAAATGCTTATGAAATTCAATTTTCATAAATTAGTATACAATGAAGCAAAAAATCCTACCAAGATGTCAATAGCGCACTATCTAACTAATACGTAATACAAACCCCTCATTTTGAATAGAGCAAATTATTTGGATGGTTACCAAACTTTTGAAATCATGGAGTTTTTGATGATTAAACTATCAAAAGTCTGGCTTTAGCCACTGAATTATTTAAAATTTAGATTTCAGGCCATTTTATTAGATTTCATCATTAAACATAACAGATTTGAGTATTCTCATGATTCATGAGACAAAAAAAAAAAAAACATAGTTAACGATTAAATTTGATGGAATTACCCGAAATTTAAATTTTAGATAGTTCAATAGCCAAAAGTCAACTATTCCAAAAGTTCAATGGCCTTCCAAATAATTTGCTCTTTTGAATATTAGGTTGGGCTATGATCATGACGTACTTATAAAAGATGCGTTTCACAAGTAAATTTATGGATCATTATACAAACACATTAAGAATCATAGTGCTTTAATTATTTCATGGTGACACAATGAAATGATATATATGACTGATATGTATTAAACATTACAAGAACGGTAGTTTTGCCATTTTTAGATATCATCTTTATATATGGTATAATGGTAATGTTGGAAAAATTTTACCGTATCTGAAATTTTGTCAAAGTTTTAAGGGAAAATGATCGATTTCATCCTTCACATTTCACAAAAATATTCTTTTCGTCCCTCACTTTTAAAATGAAGCAATTTCGTCCTTGACATTTAAAAACTGAAATTATTACATCCCTGAACCCAAATTTCAATCTGAATCAAACCATCAATCAACCTAATTACAAATTTTGGGTGTGTAATTGGTAGATCACTTGGTTAACTCAACTTGATATTTATGTGAAATTTAATGAACCTTAAAAGAAAAAATAAAAACTTATAACATAAAAAAGAAAGATTAATCTTTTCTACATTATCATTGTATACAGTGACGGTTTTATGTACCGCCATATCATTTTAATTTAAATTTAAACACCAAATTTTATATTTATGATACACATCTAGATTCGCAAGCGAATATACTAACGGTGCATGAAAAGATTTACCAAAAAAAAAACTCTACTATTCCAAAACAAAGAATGACCTTTTTATATTATAATTTTTATTTTTTTGGTTTAATGATGAAATTGACTGAATGATCTATCAATTCTATTTTCGAAATTTATTACTGGGTTATTGGATGGTTTGATTCAGATTGAAATTTAGGTTTAGGGATGTAATAGTTTTAATTTTTAAATGTCAGAGACGAATTTGCTTCATTTTAAAAGTGAGGGATGAAAAGAATATTTTTGCGAAATGTGAGGGATGAAACAGGTTATTTTCCCAAGTTTTAAAGTTAAAAAACTGAAGGATTTAACAAGTATGAAAAGTCAATAAATGTGCAAGTTAGATCGTGTGATCAGTAATCGAGGTATCAGAAAATAACATGCTAGCCGTTGGTTTTTGTACAAAAGAATTGTCGACTATGATACCAAGAGAAATAGGAACAAATGAACCAATTGTACCCAAAGAGCCAAAAAAAAAAATGCAAAACGATTGCCGAGGTCTCCATTGAGCTTAGCCACATACCTAGAGGTGTTCAAAAGGAACCGAAAAAGCAACTAATTGCAAAAAATGAATTGGTCCAAATATATTAAAAAAAAAAAAGATAACTAACCGGCTACTTTTGAAATGGTAAGGTTACTTGAGCCTATTTTGAAAATTAGGTTAGGATATGATTTTAAGCTCTTAAAAAATGTTGTTACCGAATCTACATGCATATGTGTAAGGCATGTAGCTTGCAGGGTTGGTTAGGATAACCAGTACCAAATATTAACCCGTAATTATTTAGTCATTTATAAATAATTTGAGTTAGGAGGACCATTATACATTTTATTTTTCAGAACTTATAATTTATCCACCTTATCTCAACTCCCAGTTACTTTTTTTCACGTTTTAGATTCGTTGCCACTAATTTCATTTACTCTGCTATTTTTTTTTTCAAAACTTCTTTTCATTTTTCATAACTTCTATCCACTTTATCACTGGACTAATTATTTTGTTTTTAATATTTAAAGCTTACATGT